GCGTGTGTGTGTGTGTGTGTGTGTGTGTGTGTGTGTGTGTGTGTGTGTGTGTGCGTGCGCGCGCGCGCGTGCGTGCTTGCGTGTGTGGGACAGCGCTGGCGTGCTTGCCTGCCCTGCCCACCTGTCGAGGCAGGGACAAGGGGCGGTGGGCCACGGCGGTGGCCGCCATCTGCAGGTCAATGAGTCTTGGGGCTGGGGTTGCGATAAAATGATATCAGCACCAGCCAAGCCACGCATGCACAACTGTGTTGCTTAATCAACCCAACGACTCCCCACCAGACAGGGAAAAGGCACCCAGACGCAAAGCATGCTGTGCACCAGCCTGTATGTGCTGAGCAGGGATAGCCAGGCCACTGAAATCGACCGGCAGCTACTGCGTTTGATTGTCGGTGTCCAAGTGATAAGTCATGTGCTTTCAGCCCTAGCTTGCGTGTTTCCCGCAGCTGAGTCCCCGCAAAGCATGTTTCAAGGTCCCCTCGACACTCCTGCTTGTGCTGGAGACTGTGTGAACACTGGCGTCAACTTCCACGGCTGCCCTGCAGAAACTGTGCTACGTCATGTTCATTGGGCCATTTGATTCAACCAGATGCTGCGCTGTGTGTCATAGTGCTACCCTATCGATCATACGGCGTTCTCCGGGGTCACGCCGTTGTCCGCTGTTGGGTGGCCTGTTTTCCCGGCGAGTGCCTCGCTCGTTGGATCGACCATGGCCCGCATAGCACGCTCGTGTGTGCCTTTGGTCGTGGCACAACTACTGTTGAGCTTTACGGCCAACTCCGAGGGAGTCAGGTGCGGCGCTCTCACTGACACTCGCATTGGCCCAGGTGGCTACCCGCCATCGCCCTGGCTCGTCTAAGCACACGGGCCTTAGTGTATGATGGTGCAGCATGGGTAGAAGTGTTGTGGCAACGGTTTCCTCTGCAGGCGTGCGAGGGGGGGGGGCAATTTTATGATGTGCTGACAGCCACGCCACCTGGGACAAGATCCAGCGCCCAAAACACTGTCCGCGGCCCAGCTTCCCGCCGTGCCGCAACACCCCACACGCAGCCCTGCGGCGGCCGCCAAAAAGCAAACCCTGGCGCTGGTGAGTAGTTTTCAGAGGCAGGCGAGCTGGCGCCGCGTCTGCGCAGGTTACTGTCGCCTCGCCAGAAACGCGTCACCCGGCGTCACCCCCCGGTGTCCACCGCGTGGACACCAGCGCAGGATGGGCGACAACCGGCATTGCCGCTCCCAATCGCGCCGCGATGCACACCAAATACAAGGGTGCACCGCACTGCAAAGAAGCCCAGCGCGCTCGCAGACAGGACTCCGGAGCTTCCACATCATTGAGCGGTGCACAAACTCTGCAAGCGCGTCACCCATGCACCGCAGTGCGCGCCGGTCCAGGCCCTGGTCAAGAGCAGCTGCTCCACAAAGATCGGCCCCACCACGGTGGACCAGCTGTGCAGCGCGCTGCTGGCCCCCGCCGTCGTGACCCCCGACAGCCTGGTGCGTTCTCAGGCGCCCCGAACCCTCTCGATCGCTCGTGCGTGCGTGTTTGCATGCGATTGTTTGTGCGTGGCAGCGTCGTACTAGACGTGCCAGCAAAGAGATTGCCACGCCGGCCGTGCGTGTGGCCGTGTTGCGGCGCACCTCATGCACTGCTGGTCGCCTTCTGCCCAGCCATGTAAAGTCAACCTGTGCCGAGCACCAACGTATCCCCACATCCTCGTTGATGCATTGCGAACCAATGTGCCGGGCGCTGCAGGTCCCCTCCAGGGTGAATTATGGCTGTGGCCTGGCGACAGCCGCCCAGCTGACCAACGTGTCGAGCGGCCTGGCGGCACTGGAGTCGACCGTCGCCGCCGTCATGAATCAGAGCGGCGCATTCCAGACCGCGCTGTCGCAAGGCAGCCAGCAGGCGGCCGCGCTGCAGGCCAAGGCCGCGGCGCTGGAGGCGACAGTGGCGGCGCTGAACAGCACGGTGCAGCAGCTGACGGCGACACTCAACGAGACGGTCGCGGCTGCGATCGCGCAGCAGGCCGCGGCGCTGCTCGCTGCAGACCAGGCGGTGGGCAAGCAGCTGGCCTCGCTGGTGGCGGCCAAACAAACCTTCAGTCAGGACATCGCTGCGCTCAAGGTCGAGGCGCAGCAGTGTCAATGCAGCCAGGAGCTCTCGGCTCTCAACGCCACCAGCCTTACCCTGGCTGTGGCGGGCGCCGCTAACGCAGCGGCAATCGCGTCGGTCAACGCCTCCGCGGCAGCGCTCGCGTCCGCAGAGGCGCAGCGCGCCGCCGCCGTCTCGGCGCCCGGCGCCAGCGTCGCCACCCTAAATTCGACGGTGGCGGCGATCGACCTGAGCCTCCACGTGAGAAAGACGGACGCGATCGACGCCGCCACGCTGGGCGGCGTGGCCGCGGCGCTGTACCTGCGAAAGCGCGTGGTGCTCTTTGCCTACCAAACCCTGGTGTCAGGGGGTCTCGGCGGCCGCGCCGGCGCCGACGCCACGTGTCAGGCAGCCACCACTCGGCCGGCGGGGCTGGTCCAGGCGCGCGCGTTTCTGTCCGTGGACGCATCCGACGCGATCAAAGACTTTCCCACAAAATACGGCGTCCCCGTCAACCTGCCGGTCGAGTCGGGCGGCGGCATCGTCGTCGCCGGCAACTGGACAGAACTGCTTGGCGGCAGCATCCGGGTCTCGCTGAGCAGCGCGGGGGTGACTAATACCTATTGGTGGTCTGGCAGCAGCCAGGACGGCAGCACAGCAACCAACACAAACAACTGCGTTGGTTGGACAAGCAGCAACGCTGCAGATACTGGCTCAACCGGCGGTGCCAGTCACACGGATTCGTCTTGGATTCAATATCCAGGTAAATTCGTGTGTTCTTCCAATTGGGCGCTGGTCTGCATCGCTTTCTGAAAGCCATGTGTGCGCATAATTGGCGGAGGTTGCTTGATACTGCACAGCCGCTTGCATGCAATGGTGCTCAGAGGTGTTACGGTTACGACCCGTGCACTCGCCGCGCTGCAAAACAGACTTCATTATTGTCAATTGTAACAACAACACACACACTTGCACACGCACCGGCGCGGGTCCCAACCCATATGGACGTGTGTGCGGACAATGTCGCTCTTCCGCTTTGGCAGTCCTTCTTGGTTTCAATACTGGAGCAGCCCTCATCCCCCACCGCCCCTGCACCCTTCACGAGCGCCGCCACCCCGCCGTTTGTGAGTGCTGTCGCTCCAATATTCACACACACAGGCACACACGCACGCGCGCGCGTGCGCGCGCACTTACACACACACACACACACACACACACGCAGCTGCGAGCCATCTGGGCTATGCACGCCCGCTGTGCGCAGCATCACCGGTTTCTCGCACTGCACCCGCATGTTCCTTGCCCTTGCGGAGCCTGTTGTATCTCACCTATGGGGCCGAGGTCTGGCCCTGACTTGTTGGGGAGCACGGATGGCGCCCTCGAGGCGCCCTTGCAAGTTCGGCAAAACGACTTTGTCCGGCACCTTGGGGGGGTGCGGCGCAGCGTGGCCGCCACCCTCCTCTGCGCTGAGAGTGGCTTGCCACTGCTGGCGCGTGCACGGGTGCGCACGGGCGTGCGGCAACGGAACTGATTGATCAAGTCCGATGAGGGCACCATGAAAATGGGCGTGTGTGGCTGACCTCCCGGGGAGGGGGCCCCTTGCCAGCGCTCTCGGCCCGGCGCAGGCGCGTCAGACGCGGAGCGGCGCGTGGCTGCACGCACTTGATTATTGGCTGGGAGCCGAGGGGGGCGCCCCGCCCTGGCGCCTTTTTGGCGGCTTATGCGGCGGGGGTGCACAACACCCTGAACCAGGGCCCGGCGGCGATGGCGGGCGTGCGCCAACAATTGGAAGGGTGGGAATCGCATGCATGGGACCATGCCTGAGCTAGCAAATTGGGCTGCGCGGGCCGTTCAGCGGGGTGGTGGCAATCGTGCGGAATATAAGGCTTGTGTTGCCGCTGGTGATGCTGATGAGGTGCCTGAGGCCGGCTTGCCGTCGCGCATGCCCTGCTACTTTCGCCACACGTCCCGATCCCGAAACCACCAACCCCCGCACGCGCTCATGCACCTGCGCTGCTGCTCTCCGAGAAGGGGGGAGCCCCCCCTTCGCGGCGCCACCCACCCTGCATTACAGCACCCCCACCCATTGCCGCCACTGCGACGGCCTGGGCCTTGACAAAACGGCTGAACATGCTCTGCTTGATTGCCCTGCATACATCGACCTGCGGGCTGCGCCACGCTAGGCGCCCTTGTTGGCAAATCTACCTGCACTTGCTCGCATGCGCGGGTTTGCTCGCAGTGCACACCAGCACGCACTGGCGCCCTTCGTGCATGCCTGCTTTGAACGGCGCACGGTAGCCACCTGAATCTCAGTCACACAACGTCGATGCTTCAATGTTCAATCCCATCAATGAGCCTGGATGGCTCCAGGAACGGGCGACCTTGGGACGCTGTAACAATATCAATCCTAATCCACGCACACACACACACACGCACACACACGCACACACAC